AAAATAAATATATAGTGGTAGTCAAAAGTGTAACATGGAGAGGAGTAAATAAGGTAAATGATTTATGGCGCAAAAGAAGTGCTTAAAATAAAATAATAATTTTCTTTTAAAGATATCAGAAAATCTTGAAAGCAGAAATAACTCTACAACTTTAGAATAATCTATAATCAGTTTGATATACCTATATCTGATATACCTATATCTGATATACCTATATCTGATATACCTATTAGATACGTCAGTAAGTCTCAGAACATCACGACCATGCTTTATGCTGATTATTTTAAAATTCTTATAAGATTTTGTCTGCAGGACTTTGGAAACTCTTAAAATATATACAAAGTAATACATTGTTGATGTAACATGGAAAGTAGTAAAATAGGAATAAATCTAAATCCAATTAAATAAAATCAAAAATTAATTCTTGGAAGCTTTAAAAGCTATAAAATAGATTTTTTGTGTCATTACTTCAAAATTATTTAATTATTTATTTATTTATATATTTAAATTTTCTAATTTTAATATATTATTTAATTAAATATTTTCACATACATATATATTTAAACTCATTTAAATTGAACTTATTGGCTTATATTTATATGCCAAAATAATTGTCTGACCCATTTTTATGACTTTAGTAAGTGGATGTTGGGTCACGCTACCACAACTTATAAAGATTATAAAACATTTTTTATACCTTCACACGCATGCAATTGACTTTTGGGATAGCAAAAGACATAATGTCAAGGCCTTTAGTTATTTCGAATACCTTATTTAGAGAAAACATATTTTGGTATGTTATTTACAGACATTTGATTTAATTATTCGCTATTTCAAGAGTTCCATATCAAGTATTTGTTAAATCTAGAGTTTACTGTGTTGTTAGAAAAGTGTAGAAATTTTAAATATAAATATGTTTGTAATATGTTTACAAAGTGGAAGAGGCATCGTAAATCTCCAATTGCATGTATTCTTAATAGTCACAATGAAGATAATTAATATGTTAATATCTATATGTTTGAAATTATTTGAATATAAAATGGTGTTCAAGTATCTTTTTTTTTTGTAATTTACCTTATGTGAGAATAGTATAAATCAGTTAACCATTATTTGTAGAAAGGAATTAATCAAAACAATTTTTAAACACTTGTTTCTTTTGAGATCCATTTTTTATTAATATAATGTTTTTTATTTAACAAGTTTTGTAGACCTTTTTTTCGCATTAATAGCTAATGAGTATCCTTTTCCGCATGAACATTCCAAGGAAATCCAAATCATAGATCATGTTTTTATAATATTTAAATCAGTTGATGTTGAAATTTATATATACCTATCATACAAAGATCTAAAGCAAATAGTTGAATTGGTTATTGTAATTGGTTAAGGAATATATTGTATAAGAAGAAAAATCTCAAGTTATTAAAATATTGAATTTGAAATTGAAACTAAATGTTATATATTTTAAACCTGAAAAATAATTTAAAACTTTACAGTTTCAGGTAATCATAAGTTAAGGTTTAATATATCATTAAGTGATAGAAGTTAATTTTTAAGGGCCTTTCCTAACAAAAATAAATGTTAAAGTTGCACGCCTCAACTCGAGGCTTAGAGAGTCTGTAAAATAGTTAGTGAAAAAATTGGGAAATATTTTATGGTCAGAAAAAGCGAAATGGTTTTATTTGGAGGAAAAAACATCAGATAGTCGTATGGTATTCTTAAAATACAGGATTCAGGTCCGCAAGTATATTACTGAGGAAGCAATGGCAATGCCAAATTAAATTTTTTTTTTCCTATAGCTGTGTTTTATTAAATTGATGTAAATATGTATCAAAAAATATATATTGACAAAATGAGCAATGTAATGTTACCATACGTTGAATAGGATTCAGGTTAACCAGGGAGATCAGGTGTTCTGTTCTAAAAAAAACTGTTTCTCTACCAAATATTTGACAATATAAAATTTCGATTTCTTAACATTTCAACTTTTTTTTTAATTTTAAGCGAATATATTTATAATTTTGAACACTGCTTTTAGTTAATAGTTTAAATATTAATTCTTCATATTCAGCAAAAACTTAAAAATGAGTGTTTATCACACAGATTTATTTTTTTAAAAATAATTTGTTTTAATTAAACTTATTTTTTTTAATTACAAAAGAGACATCTTTAAATATTATATGATAATCTTTGTATCTGTGGTAAAGGAAGCGAATTAAAGGTATTTTTGTAAAATATATTAATATTATTTGATATTGACTGCCGGCTACTTCAACTCCCGGTACCTATAACATGTCTTGAACAAACAATTGTTTCTTATCATTTATAAGTAATATAAAAATAATTTTGTATATGTACATTTTAAAATTACAACAAGATTAACTTTATTTATTAGTTAGTTTGAATGTAAAATGAAAAAAATTTTGCGATGTATGCGCTCCAAAATAGATTCATTCTGTCTAGCTCTGCTCGGCATGAAGTGTTTGTCTCGAATGCGATAGCAGAATTTTGCATGCCGTCCAACGACTGCACAAGTTCATTAAATAAAAATAAAAATAAAAATAAAAATAAAAATAGCAATACGCTATTTTATGAGCAGCAACTGAAAGTCGAAACATCAAACAAGAGCGGCAACAACAGCAAACCGCACGGCTATTTGAGATACAAAACTTTAATTCAGGAAAATCTGAAAAAGTCCCGTGGTTCTCTTAAATCTGCAGTTTATTTATACGTAAAAATAGTATTTCTACAACGAGAGCTGAACAGAGATACGAGAGGAGAGAGTCGTAAGGAACCGAGTTGTCTCAAAGCTGATTAGTTTGAAATTCGTTTCGTTGTTGTTAATTCAATAAAATCATTCATTCAAATTTGCATACCGTCTTGGCACATTACTGATTTTGTTTTGTTTCGTTAGTTGATCAGATTGGAATAGCAGATTTTATATGTCTTTGTAAAAATTCATATTCACTTCCATTCAACGTTCTGTATAAAAGTTCTCAAGCAAGACAATTACCAGACAAATACACTGAAAACCGGATTTGTTAAATAAATTGTTCTCTATATACTAAAATATATACGAATTGTTTGAAAATTAGATATTTCTAAATGAAACGAGGTGAACTTGACTTAAATTTATTTATGTATGTATATGTTATGTATTTATATATAGATACATATTAACTGGTTTAAAAAAAACATTGTAATTATAAAAATGATAATAAAAGATTCGTTGTAATAGATATTAGATATATAAATTAATAATTATTCTATAAATAATACAATGTTTATTAACTTTTATACAAGTAAACTTCAAATATTCATTTCTTAATATCAATTTTCAAATACTTTTCTATGTAGAAGTTAACATATAACATAAATATTTGAAAAGTCATGTTAATACATAATATTATGTATATCTGTGATGTAGATTCTATGTTATAATTCGCAAATATCGCTTTGGCATATTGATACATTCAAACTCTTCACAGTTACTAGATATGAACATATTAATAATGGAAAACTATTAGTGATAGTAGATTTTTTAAAGGCTCTTAAATTATTAAGTTCAATCTAAGCACCTGCACGAGCACTTTATTTCTCTCTAAAGTAGAAGGCATGGGATGACTGTTGAGAGTATTTTTCTTTCTGACGGTTTGGTAAAAAGTAGTTGATTAAACTCTGAACCGCCTTATCAGAGTTTATAAAAATGGATTGTAAGCTCCACAAATGGCAATTTGAAATTGGATTTCTATGTAAAATGATCCTGCTAGCTTTGATGATATACTGACTAGACGATTATGAGGTACATTCTTGTTCCTGACCTATTCCGGTATTTCAACAAAATTATTCGCTTTCTATTCGTATATAGTTCAACAATTTTTTTACTTCACTTTTACCGTAAAGTAAGAATGTTTAGAAAAAACATTCGAAGGTCAGTTTATACTGACCTCAAGTTTTAGTGTATCAGGACATATCCTGATACATCAACATATCAGTGGCAGGACAAGGCGACATAAGTATTGTCAAAACATTAAAAATAGCATTATTAACCAATTCATTATGTATATATTAATATATTGTAGATCTGTTTAAACCACGCATTCTTATAAGACAGATTCACATAACAGCAGAAAAATTGTGATCGTGTTTGTAAAACATAGTTAAACGTATAAATTTATAGTAAAAAAAAAACATGGGTTGTTTAACGGCAGTAAAATTGTATTGTAGTAAAGCCAGATTATTAAAAAAAAAGTTATTTTAAATATAACAAGTAAATAAATGAATCGCTTTGGGCTGTGAACGGCAGATGCATTCATATAATTTAAGTGACTCGTACAATATGCATTTATATAATACGGAACTTAACTATCGTGTTATACGAGATCTACTGACGCATCAATAACATTTATAATTTATAAAAATAATTAATATACATACTTTAAGATTTGTAAGATTTCCAAAAACTAGTAATATAAGTTAGCCATTTAGTATCTTTCAAACTAATGTAAAGTATATAATACAAACATATAACACCATATACATAATAAGCTGAGAGCTATTATTTAAGATTTATTCTGATATATTACATCTAAATCCAATAAGTAAAAATTTATAGATATTAAAAATTGAAATATTGGCTTTCTTTATTGAACCTCGTAAAGATAAAGCCAATTGAACATATCTTTGACAGCGGAACCATATACAGATTAGTAGGACATTTTTGAATGTTAAATATACAATTGTAGTTTTATAGTCTAATATATTCTTTTGATATAGAAAATTTTTACTTAATATATTACCAGTTAAGTGATCAAACTTATGTGGAATAATACTTTTTAAAAACTACAAAATGTAAATTTGCTATCTACAAAAAAAATTCACACCTAATATAATATATATATTTATAATGTATATATATATTTACTATAAATTTTTATGTATTAAGTAGAATGTTTAACTAATATGAAAATTCTACTAACCTTTAATTTTATTTTTTCAGATATGATTCCAGAATCTTGAAATGACGATTATAAGTATTGTCAAATAATAACTAATCGCTTCTGTGGATATTTGAAAACGGTTCTTATGCAATGTCAAAAAAGACGTTAATGGAACTGGTCAATGAAAATTATCTAAATTTTAAAGAACATCGACTTCGAAATAATCAACTGATTGAAAACAGAACACAAAGTTCGGAGCAGATTGAAATTTCTCGTTGTATTCATCCTGTTGTGCTATAATATATTGTACTGCTAATATTTCAAGTTACAGCTTATATTGCTAACTCGTTAAATACACACATATATACCAAAAATATTTTAAGATATCATGTGTTTTAACTAATGCATCAGGAAAGCAATATTTTGCGAATTACAGTATGTGCATATGTAATTAATTTTATATAATATCCGTTATTGGATAATGCAATGCCGACTACATCTTCAGCAGAAGTAATCACAACGAGAAAGATTGAAAATTGTCATTATATTACAACAGCTACAAGAAATAGTATTAATAATTTAGGACAAAAGCCGGATTATATTGCTTACAATACAGCAATGGTTGCACGAGAGATTCTGCCATCAGTTGGTGATTCTGGTGGAGGAAGTAATTCTACCAATACATCTAATAGTGAAAGTTCAGTTAATGAAAGTAATACAAATGAAAGTCATAAAATTATACTTAAGTTACCGAAAGGAACAATTCGAAGCCATACACACCATGAATCTCAAAACGATGATGCTAATCCAAGTTCCAGTACTAGCTCTGGTAGCGGTAACATATGCTCAACAGATATTGATACACGTAAAGTGGAACCACTTAAAATAAATTTACATACGCACGCGCAATTACATTCGCATTCTACTCATCATAGTCAAGTTTTGGTGCCGAAAATTACAATAAAGCCAATTGTGAAAACACAATCTGATGCTATTTCAGATTGTTCTTCATCAGCTGAAGATGAAGTATCTGCGTCATGTTCATTGACACATTCAGAGTCTCCTATACCGAAATTAACTATCAAATCATCATCTGTGTTAGAAACCAATAGTTTAGAGCCTCGTGTTGTACCGAAACTTACAATACGCTCTGCAAGTGAGGAGGATGGCACTGCGCATACATCAATTGTACCAAAATTAACAATAAAAATGTCTGACACCCAAATGAACGTATTAAATATTTCCAATTGTTTATCTTCTCATAATGCAGTTTCATCGCAATCTTCTGAACAATCACCACCTCCACTACCAAAACTAACTATTAAAACAACTTTAGATGGTAATACCGAATCTATTATGTCTTCGTTATCACCCACATTATCATCAACATCATCAAGTTCTTCGACCTCATGTGTAATGGTGTCAGCGAAGTCGCCTTCTGTCAGTAATTTTATAGCTACAACGGCAACATCAACCGATATTACAAATGCGACATTTACTCCTGTTCCTAAATTAACAATCAAAACGGTTCAAAAACCAGAAGAAAGTGTGCCTAAATTGACAATTAAAACAAATAAAAATTGTACAAGTGGTATTAGTACATTGGACGAAACTGAAGGTAGTGAAGATTGTGCTTCGAATAAAATACCAAAACTAACGATAAAAACAGGCCATGAACATGCAGTTATTATTACTCAACGTAATGACACAGAAAATATGCAAACCATACCTAAACTCACAATAAAAACGAAATCGCTAGAAGAATGTTCAAGTGATCCCAGTGAAGATGGTCCACCTGAAAAAATACCTAAAATTACAATTAAAACAAATGACAAACCTGCAGTAGAGACGCAAATGTTTTGTATTAAAAATCAGCAAAGTGAAGGTGAAAAAGTACCAAAATTAACTATATCTGTTTCTAGTTATGACAGTACGGCAACATCACCACAATCTCCGAAACAAACATCTTTGGTGGTGCGGCAAATTTCTCAGTCCTCTCGCAAAACAGAATCACCCGAACGTGTACCAAAATTAATGATCTCTCGTCAGGATGCGATATGTGTCAAAACAAATCATTGCAGTGAAGTTTCGGAAAAAATACCAAGACTTACCATAAAAACAAGTCTATTAGAAAATTTGGACAGCAAGGATAAGTGTTCTAAATTTGCTATCAAATCAAATACTATTTCGGACGATGATAATATAACAAGAATGATATTAAAATCGATGCCGTCCACTCAACAACAAAATCTTGAAGATACTGACATGGAATCAAATTCATCAGCAGAACACTCAAACAAAACAGTACCGAAGCTTACAATTAAAAATTTACTATCACCAAAGTTAAAAATGAAGGCGGTGCTTGGAGACGAGGCTACAAATTCAGAAATATCAACCGTTCCAAAAAATTGTTTAAAATCCAGCGGTGCAAAAAACGCAAACGATGGAAGTGTGTCGCTGGATTTAAAATCTCCAAGCATAGAAAACGTCACAAATGAGAAATGTGACGAACAACTGATTGTTAATGGCGAATCTAGTAACAGTCAGGAGTTTTGCGGATTTAACGAAAATACTAATGATCTTCATATAAATTCAGCGCCTTCCGCAGTCATTTTAGAAAATCGTAGAAATTCAGATGATATGGATATTGACGAAAGCTTACAACAACATACAACGCAAATGTTCAACAATGTCAGTCATTTTTCAGTAAGCAATGGTAACACATTTACACCAATTACAGAAAAAAATGGTTTTATACAATCAATGAAATCACAACACCCATTAACTGTTATTGATACCGTTGATTTGACGTCATCGCCGTCGCCTAATTCTTCACCTTCACATTTAAATTTCAACCAAATTGAAACACCTTCTCAGAATACCTTAGAAGAATTACTTCAGCGAAAACAGCGTACGAATTTACTTATGGAACATGTGTCGCGTGAGACGAGCGTAATACAATGCGCACCAGCGATAGAAAAAACGAACTTTCTTTTAAACCAACTTACAGCATCTCCGAATTCAATAACAAAATTAGGAGCGTCAGTTTCGTCGCAATCTAAAGCAATCATACAGAATCCAAGCAACACTGCAACGCAATATCCACAATTAGCGGAACGTCTTATGTCAAATGGAGGTGTACACAGTTCAATACGGCCGCTTATGGATATTACTATAGATAGGATGAGCAATAAAAGCCAATTGGAAAAAGAAATAGAATCAATAGAGATATTAGACACTCCTGAAGGAAGTCCAATTCCTTCAATTGAAAATACAATAGATTTTTCAATAGCAAACAATAGCGTTTTGAAGAATCATGTTAACAATATTGGTATATTTATGAATCAACATGAAAGCTTATCAAACCATACCAAAAATGTGTTGGATGCAGATTCGCAAAAGACTTCTAACAAATCTAATATTAATTCAAAACGTCCTAATACTTCCAATTCCTATATTGACAGAACTGCAGCTGAAAAGTTAAATGTGAGTACAATATTTTTTTTATATATTTTTATTTTAAATGAAAATTTAATGTTATTATTTTTATTTATAGATCCCATCCAATAAGATTACGCGTAACGATATTGATTCTAGTGGAGTAGCACTGACCATTTTATCAAATGATGATTCTAACGATGTTGCTGAAAAAACAATATTATCAACCGCGTTAGGTATAAATTGTACCACAAGCTCTGCCCTCGAAAGCACACAGAATATTGAGCAAATTTCTATAAAACATCAAAATACTCCTCGGTCGAGGAAACAAAGGCATGATAATTTACTAAATCATGTGGAAGAAGAAGATATAGTGGCTCTTAATACAGTAAACGTTTCAGAAACATCATCTAATTTACAATCTAATAATGGAAATTTAGACGGACTTATTTCATCTTCTAAAGACAAATCAGAGATTGATTTACCAATAATAAAAAAACGGGGTCGACCTAAAAAAAATAAAATAAATACCCCAATTGAAGAAAACTCCATAAATTCAATGCACCTAAACGACAATGCATCTAATGCAGAAATCCACAAAACTGATAAGCCTCCGAAATCTCGTCTCTCTCGTGTTCAACTTCTACGAAAGCGGTTAGCTATTGATATGGTTGATTCCGAAAAACCTAATACGTTCTTAACAGATGACATCGAAGATGACAGAGTAGTTCGTACACCAATACGTACATCACGTCGAAGTGCAACGCCCAATATTTTGCTAAATGAAAAAGTAAAAAGGCATAATGACGTTTCAATAAAAAATCGTAATCGCTTAAATATTAGAAATGAGAATATGACAGAATTGAATAATTTTGGAGGATCAAATTCGAGCCTCTCATCTGCTTGCTCAACTAGTTCACTTAGTTCTAGTATTGTAACCACAACTGCTGTTAGTGGAACACCATCTCGTTTAGGCAATTGTGCTAATATTTCAATGAACTCTCAAATTGACTTAACGATGTCATCATCATCATCATCAGCTAGCAATGGAGCAATGGGTACTATAACAGCATCTGGTGTTGTAGTTAATAATCGATCCAGTTCTATGCTTCCACCAACTACTATACTATCTTCAGATCCTACACCTGATGTTATATTTAAACCAAATGACTTTTCCTCTATCATTTTATCACAACAGTTGCGATCGCTAAATTCTAGTATAGATTCAGAATTGTTATTAACCTCATCAATGATGAATCATCAAACGGATTCGCAAGATGAAGATGTCGGTGGAATCACTGGTATATTTTAAATTTATATTTAAAAAAATGTTTCAGTATAATATTAATAAATATTATCATTTCTTTAGATGATTCAACCAGCTCAACTTCAATGCCTACGACACCAATAACACCAGGTCGTGGACGAGGTCGCGGCAGAGGAAGAGGTCGAGGTTCTGGGAGGGGACCACGAGCCCATAGATTAGGTCGTGGAGCAAGTGCGGTTGCGAAAGCAATAGCTATGAACCGGCCACGTTGTGTAGGTGGTCTTAAACACACTCCGGATCCAGAACGTTTAAAAGGTCTTTTTACACCGGTACGTGATGTTGGATAATCAAAAAAAAAATAATACATAAATTTAAATAACAGTTTTACTACAATATTAAATAATCTGTAGAACAAAAAATTTTAATTTAATAGATTTTCTTTGCAAAGTAATTTTATTTATAATATAATGTGTCTCTTAAGAGTATCAACTTTTATGTTCTAATTATAAATAGTATTATTAAATTTTTTTTACGTTAAGAAATAATGTAAACATTTATAATGTTTAAATGAGTAATATTTCTCTGAATTTTGTTTCAAAATCATATGATAACATAAAATATGAATTTTAATTTAATATTTTTAACTAAATACTAGTGTCTAAGAGCGCAGGAGTTCATGCGTCTTTTCAACCTAATCTTTCTTATACCAATTATTTCGTTAATTTCATACAATTTTGTTAAGACTTATAAGAAATACTAAAACTAATCAGGGTGTATTTAACGCTAATATCTATTGATAATTATCTTATTTGTTGAATGCTCGCTCTTACCATGTTGAAGTATATATTTGTATTCTAGATTATGAAATTATGATTTTAAAGTTATGATATTATTTATTTATAGTTGCCACAAGTTTTTGAAGAGGATACTCGAATGAGCGCAGATTTAAGTCAAAGTCAATTTTTGAACGACTCGGATATTTCCTTTAGGTAAGTGTTTTTATTAAATTATGAAATAGAGAACGTTAATTTTATTTTATTTTTTTAACAAAAATAGGCAACCCGATTTTTTAAACAATGAAGAATCTCAATCTTCAATTGTTAGTAATACAAGTTTCTTAGATCCTGCAGTAAAACGACCTAAAAAGAAGAAAATGGAAGTATGCGTAGCAGATGAGTAAGTGAAAAAAAAATTGTATATGAAAACATGTTTATAACTTTACAATTTGCAGCACTGATTTCACAGTAGGATCTATTGCTGAATATGACTGGCCACCACCAAAAGGTTGTTGTCCATCAAAAAACCGTGATACATTTATGATCCAAGAACAGGTAGCTTTGTATTTGGGCATTAAAAGCTTTAAACGAAAATATCCGGATTTACCTCGACGTCAAGTTGATATGGAAGAACGTAGTTGGCTGCAAGAAAGAGGATTGGTGTCAGAAAAAATGTGCGACCTTGGTATTACAGCTGTTTGGGCATCTGATATTTTAGATATAATGTATGCTGATTTCTATGATAAATATGAAGAATATAAAGATTTCATACGACAAAAGCATCTGCTTGATATTGAAACTAAACAAAAAGCATTAGGTCTAAACGTAAATGGACGAGGTTTGCAAGCACGAGATCGTGCTATGCTTTCAGCAAGTAAATGGAATGCATACTTTAATAAAAGGTAACAACAAATATATTTAAAATATTGTTTGTTTTATTAATATTCATTTTATTATCTCTAAAAATAGCCGTAAAGAGGATCGCCCAAAATGTTTGGATTTACAAACCTTAACAATTAATGTGCCATTACCAATAGAAGCGCCGTCTACAACACTTGTCAACCGTCCAATTGCAGATGCAATTACAAATGCAATAGTAAAAGAGTCAATAAAGGAACCACCAACATTATTAAAACCAAGAAATTTTAATAATTTAATGGTTAAAGAAATGTCTTATCCCTTATCATTAGTTCCGGGTCAATTTTGTGAAAAGTATCGGAAATACACATCTACTGAATTACGGTAATTATATTCATATTATGAATATACAAATACATAAAAACTCATATAAATGTATTTTTATAAATTTTACAGTTGCTATCCTATAAATACAGTGCTGGATAATCCACATTCATTACAAAATTATATGAAAGATTTGAATGCTTCGGAAATAGATACGGAAATAGAAAATAAGCACAAATCTACTAAAAGTGAAAACAATAATCAACAATTTGAACAAAATCAAAGAGCAGAAACACATGATAGTTCTTTACGAAGTAGTATTGAAGATAACGTGAAAAAAGATATGCCAATAGAATATGTAAGCACTTCCGAATCCTCTTCAAGTGAGGAGAGCTCCAGCGAATCGGTAAGAATTAGTATAAATATTTCTTGCGTTTATATTAACCTTATTGTTTTATTATCTCTAGGATTCTGATTCCGAGTGTTCGTCGTCATCCTCATCTTCTGAAAGTGAAACAAATCTCTCTTCATGCAATGTTTGTCAACGTACTCAGCATCGAAACCTTAAAGATTTACCAGAACGATTTATAAAGTGTTACACTTGCCGCCGGAAAGGTATGTATATTACACTAACTGTTTAGAATAATTTATAAGCTGTGTACGAATAACAAAAATAATATATTCTAAAATTTAGAAAATCTTTAATTTATGTTTTATATTTCTCATATAATAATTTCTACTGCTTGATTTACCATGATTAGATTTAAATTTTGTCACTGTCATCCCTTTTTCTATTCAAAGATAGATAAATAAATTGATTTCAAAAAAATTTGAATAATTTTATATATAATGCCAACACTTAACAAACTTTACTTGAGTTGTCACTATAGCATAAAGTCGTGTGGATTCATGCTGTAACAAGAGCGTGTGTTGGCATTTTATATTTATATCTACATCTGAACAGATCTATCCAAAATTTAGGTTAATTAAATAAACCGAAACATTCCAAATGTCAAATTTTTGAGGATCATTTCAAATTCCAAATTTGAGAATCATTCCAAATTCCAAATTTGAGAATCATTCTTAAAAGCTAACATAAGGTTTATTTATTCCTCTCATTTTATTAAATATTTTACATAGTTAAAAAGATTATCGCTCTAATATTTACATTAAGACTGAAAAGTTTTCGGAAATTCTCATTTAAAATTCGCGCGCTGTATATTTTTCGATATTTTAAGTTTATGTAGTTTGGCAGCACTGTCCTTAATTACTATGCCAAAAATGAGCTCGATCTGTCAGACAGTTCGTTTACGGCAGCTGTTGAAACCAGTTCACCTCAGTAGTGCGTTGCGAAATGTCTTCGACGGTCGTACGACCGTCCTGGAAGGCTTTGTACCACTCATAAACTTGAGTTTTCGATAAAACTGATTCCCCATAAGCCTTTTGTAGCATTCGCAACGATTCTGCACACGAAATTTCGTTCGAAACACAAAATTTGATGCAAACTCTTTGTTCAATATTTTTTTCCATTGTTTTTTTCGCAACGCCCTACTGAGGTGAACTGGTTTCAACAGCTGCCGTAAACGAACTGTCTGACAGATCGCGCTCATTTTTGGCATAGTAATTAAGGACAGTGCTGCCAAACTACATAAACTTAAAATATCGAAAAATATACAGCGCGCGAATTTTAAATGAGAATTTCCGAAAACTTTTCGGTCTTAATGTATAACGTTGCAATGTTTATAACGTTCTTTACTTTAAATACGGTACTACATTGAGTCCTATTGATCTGTGATGCCGTCCCATGGAATTTGTAGGTTTCTTTACCTCCAGTTAGACTAGTTTCAATTGTTCCCACGCAGACTTTCATATTTGTCCTACCCCTCTTCAATGTCAACCTACACTTAGATCCATCCTAACACATGTATTCGTATTGTAATTCTGTTTGTGTTTCCCTGCTATGTAGATCTTTGCGGATTATAATCCACAACTATTGAGATTGCCATATATATGTCTAATTAAAACTAATCTGTTGGGATTTGGATTTATAAATTATATAAACTATTAGGTCCAAAACAATAAGTTCTAGTATTTGTTAAAGTATGTACTGATGGTTAAACACAATTTGTATAAAAAAACTGATTTATTAATTATTTTAATAAAATGATACAAATAATAGACTATTAGCAACTGAATTAAGATGTGAATTGAACTGATATAAAAATTGTGGTTAATACATTGTTAATAAATTATTTGAGGGATATTAGTTTTTGCATTTCTTTTAAAAACTCAAAATCATTCCATCATTTCTCACTCATGACATGGTTAGATTCATTTATTGTTAATTAATTTCAATTTCTATTAATCATATTTATATTAAAAAAAATGTTAATTGTTAATTTAAGTTCATCCGAGCTGTGTTGAAATGCCCCATCGAATGATGTTAAGAGTGCGTAATTATAACTGGCAATGCAACGAATGCAAGTGTTGTGTTAAATGCAAGCGCAAGCAGGATGAAAATAAAATGCTGTATTGTGAGCAATGCGATAGAGGATATCATATATACTGTATAAATATAAAATCAGTTCCCGATTGTAAGTAAAAAAAATGTGTTAATGATATTTAATTGATAAATGAATGTATTTTAATATATTAAGGTCGTTGGAGCTGTGAACGTTGCAGTATATGTATGCGATGTGGTGCTACTAAACCTGAAGGATTGCCGCAAGTTCAGCAACAAACTTTAACATCTCCAAACGGAGAAAAAGTCAAACAAGTCAAACACAAAAAAGTGAAATGGATTAATGAGTATCGTATAGACCATATAACCAAATTAAGAGAACACTGTTCGATGCTTTGTGTGCCATGTGGACGTGCAAAAACAGTGAAGCGAACAGTACCTGCATTACCGAATATAAATAATAATTTTAATAATAGTAGCAACACTATTAATGCTAGTGGTGTGAATAGTAATATAAATGCAAGTGCTACAAATGCTGTTCAAACATCAACGGTGCAACAAAAACAGCAAATTAAAATTCAACAGTGCAACAACACTCAAATGTCGCCACCTCCTACTCCAGCTCCATCATCTGTTATTAATACAGCAGCAACAACACCGGTTACACCAGTAATAAAAACAAATTCGAATAACAATTCAAGTGGAGGAACGGTAATACCACCGGTAGTTGCCTGAGTGGGGGTAATACGGTATTGTCCAAAACGGAGTATTACAGATTTATAGTAGTAACTGAATACGCAATCTACATATGCAAATGGTTAAAACTTAGTGCTAAATATTAGTCTATATGTGTGTAAAAACTGAAACGTATATTATAATTTATTTTGTTTTATTTTTTTTTTAATCACACCATTGTGTGATTTTATATTTGTACTTTTATTTCTTTTAAAAAATAAATGCGTTATTTAATACTAACTAAATTTGTGATTCAATCAAAAAGTATTCAATTATGAAGCAAAAATTTCGCATTTTTTTAAATATATAATAGGCTACACATATACTTACAAGTTAAGTTTAATAAAATGAAAATCTTTTTGTATTATTTTTTTATAATAATTTAGTTTTTTATTTAAGTTAAATAATTAATTATTTAAGAAATTACTTTTACTATTTTTATGAAGCTAATTAGCTTAATTTAAAACAGCAGATCAAATAAAGCATAAAATTAAATTGAAAGAACAAATTGTACATGTAAAATATTATATTAGTATATAGGAATTCAATATAGTTTAATACTATTCAATATTAATTTATTAACTTAAATGTAAGTATGTAATAAAATATTAGAATTTTATAATAGAGAAAGGTAAATTATCGAACTCGTTAAAACTAAATAAAATTGATAAAAAATTTTATCATGTTAAATGCCTTCTTTGTAATATAATCATAATATTAAATAGTTAATGTACATAACAGTGTTTAATTCAGATTACATAAAATAAATAAAAGTACTAAAAAGATGAAACACCCGAAAGAGACTAAAATTAAAATTTTATATATTAAATATAATAAAATTTAGTTTTATTTTAGCTTTAAGCTATAATTAATTTAACATATTACATATTTTTTTGTATTATTTATATATAACATTTAAATTTAATAAAATTTAGATATAGTAAGTTTCATTTACTTAAATTAGTGATTTAAGAATATTTTATACTTATTGTAATATATAGCAGTATCAAATATATTGCTCAAAACATATGAAATATATATATAGGTAAACATTAAATTAAAAACTGTCTTAAAATTTGAATTTGGTTTATTTTTACTATTACAGTACTTGTATAAAGCGGGCATAAAACGGTTTATTTCTTATTTATATTTAGTTATGAGACTATAAATTTAGGTTTACTTTTAAAATTTACCAAATATTAATAAATCTGTATTTATATTTAAAAGATTTTATGTATAGTAATGTTTCGAATTATATACTCCCGCCACAGCAACTGTGCTGTTACAATATCTTAACAATTAGTTCAAATTAGTTATTAAATGCTTTATAAATGCAATAGTTTTATTATATACATATGTAAGGTATTTTTCAAAAACTGATCTACAAAAATATTGTAGTTTATGTAAAGTTATGAGCATTATGTTAAATTTTTTTTTTTGTATAGTTGTTTATATTGGGTAAAATATCTGAAATTATTAATTATAATATAATGCCTTAAACATGTAAGTAACTAAAAAATATAAACAAAATGATTTGTTTTATAGTTTTAAAAACTAAGTCTTATTAGTATGGCACATGCAATCAAACGGCTTTCCACATAATATTCGTATTTATAATAAATGATGTGAATTTAATACGATAATTTATTCATAGGTTTGCATAACAAAATTTTATAAATTTACATTATATGTTGTAAACAGTTTAAAAAAAAACTAATTTATTTTTTCAATCCATATATTACTAAAGTTTATGTAATATGCATGTTTGATCATAAGCAAAATTATTTTTGTACAATAATTTAATTTAAAATATAAAAATATCGTAAAAAAATGTGAAATTTTATTTAAACATTACAAATTTCTATTAATCTTAAATAAATATTAAAAAGATTAGTTTGAAAGTGTGATATCCAGTCATAATCGCATTTGATAGCAGAAGATTATAAACAGAAGATTATAAACCTCACACTTAATTAGTGCTTAGAAATTATTATAACAAATGGAAATGATAACTATTATGGTTAAAATAATTCCATTTGAATAATAATAACTTCAGAAATCTAAGATAGTATATTTCTGCCCATTTTACCAGTTTTTTGGCAAATTATTTTGACTGTCAGTAAGCAATAATAACATCTATGTGTTGATATCTACGCTTAATAAAAATACAAGCATCTATTTTATCTTAGTAGTTCTACAATAACATTGAATCTTTTTACAAGTTTCTGAATTTATATTTATCTGCATTTACGCTATAATACATATTACAAAGGTAGAAATAAACATCATTATTAATACAATAAAATTAAAACAGGCTAGACTTTCACTAAAAGCTTATTAAAATTTAAATCTATTAATAAAAATTAAACATTTTAAAATTTTAAGATTGAAATTCTTCAAAGAAAATTTGGTTAAATTTAAAGGATAAAAGTTAATATAATAATAGATCTCTACCATTTCTTTAGCATGTTAAACTCATAGTCAAATGCTAAGTTGTTGGATTGTTAAAAAGATATCTCGTGAATGCGTATTTTTTTAATTAGACCGGAGTTTACTAAAACGTTAAAAACCATTTCAAAAAAATTACATGTAAATAAACTGGCAACAGCTGACTTGGCAATCCAATTTATATATGCTAAATATTGACATATCATGCCAATTAATACAATTTACCATATTAAATAAGATCGTGAACACCCTAGTACTACAATTGTAACAATTTATTACTGATTTGTAGCAGCATCCTATGATCTGCTTTTTGAGTTCCTGCTGGAAGGAACAGCCGGAACTTGGTCGCTTAAATTCAATTTTGATGAATTTCCATGTGTTTCACACGTAATGTATAAGCACGCAAAATATTACTTATTTATCAACAATTTTGTAAAGTCCAGCATTGAAAGTAATTTTTCACCAAGTCTAACATAATGTTTTATTTTATTATATATAATTTCATACATATATGTATATATTTTTTACATATACTTATTTTTTTGCATATATATATGTATGTATATCCAGAATGTAAATTAAAACAAAATGAAAATTAGTTAAAATCATACATATAATTTATTTTTTCGAATACATTATAATACTTACATATATATTTTAATAATTACTCAAGATCAAAACATTTAAACATAAATTCTTAATATAATTTTTTTATGTGCATGAAATATATTCTTAAATAAATAGCAGACGCATTCAGTGTTGGGGAATATACTCGTAATTACAGTCTGCCTAATATTTTATATAACCAGAGATTTGTATACATAATACTTATTGCTATAATAATGTTTACTCATCTCATCTTAACATTTGCTCAAGGTAACAATAAAAATCTTCTATATATGTATATATAAAATATATGGTCACAAAATAATCTTATCTACTTCTTATTAAACTGTATAGTTGTTTGCAGTTTTTACTGTGCTTCGTCTTTATGGAACAACATTTTTTCCAATTGTTCAAGTAAGTCAAAACCATTTTCCCAAATAACCAAGAGCGGAGGATGTCTCAGCTGGTCTTTGTGTTTTCGAAATTTCTTTTCCAAAGCAAAGCCCTCTCGAGCGCAAGCGATGTCAGTACTGCCAAGTTTAGTGATTGGACAGAAATCATTACTTCCATCGCCTACGTAAATTAAGTTGTCATAACGTATGTTAGAGTGAAGATCTTGCTTTGTGAGGAAGCGTTCTAGCACTTGCTTTTTACATAAATTTGGTGCACTCACATGACAGGTTGTTTGGTGATGATACGGCTTGATGCCTAGTAAGCCGTGTTCATTAAAAACTGCCGGGTTAGTGAATACTTGTAGAAAGTGCTCCGATAAATTATGTGCCTTGAGCCATTCGTCAATAAAAATACTATTAGAGTCACTTATGATGATTAAATCAAAATTGTTTTGCTGCTTCAAACGTTTTATTAGTCGCACAAATCCTGGCACTTCCGGTATAGCACGCACTGCGTCACAAATTTTATATTTCGTAACTTTTTCCTCGTGCAGCATATGAAATATTTTCTGCATATATTGTGTCCATCCAACTGTTTCTATTAACTTGTTCACATCGGAAGTTAAGAGATTCTGGGGTAGCAGATCTCGAACTACAGTGTCCGTATTCTGTGCAACTATTGTGCAATCGAAATCAAAAGCAATTAAATACTTCTTGGTAGTTAATGGTATCGTTTGTTGTGCCATATTTTCGTTGTGTAAAATTAAATAAAATCTGAATTCGCAGCTTTAATTCCGACGTGTTCAACAAGTTCTCCACTAATGATGCTCGTTCTAAATGCAAATACAAATGCCTGCAGCTATTTTTGTTTGCTCTTTGTTTTCCAATTGGAAGAATTGTTTGTTGTTATTTTATCTTTGTTTTCTTTTGCATTAGAATCAAGGTCATCATATGGAAAATTAAGTTTTTATGGTATATAACTGGAGGAACGTTAATTAGATGGAAACAGGGAGAAAGACATTTTTTATAAAAATGTGTAGTTTGGGCACTATGTAGATTTCCATACCCTACACACTAAACTGTATGATAACATATTATATATAATATAATCGAGTTTTACGAATCGATATAACTATGTCCGACTGTAAAATATTTATTGACAATTTACTCGCTTCGTTAATATAATTTACCCGCTACTGCCCAGAACCATTTTTGCCGTGGTAATTGTGGATTATTTTACGACATAGATTTGAGTTTATGTTTTCATGTATTCAATATTAATGCATGAACACAAATAGGATAAGAGTTTGAAAAGACAAAAGTTTAAACAGTTTTATGTGGTATTTAAATAAAATACTATACAAAATAAACTTATGCTGAAAACACAATTAACGCTATACGATGCGATAGTGGTTGCAGTACTAACAAAGGTACATGCCCAATTGCTTTTATGCAACACACAGTACTGTCAAATTTTTAAGTGTGTCGTAACTGTAAGCAGAAGAAATATTGCGCTAAACAATAGTAGAGTGAATGTTATATGAAGAGCATACGGTTCTTTATTTTGTTGTATGTTGTGGTTGATATATGTTAGAATGAATGTTATATGAAGAGAATACGATGCTTTATTTTGGTAACTCAATTTAAAATAAAAATGAAAATGGATAGTAGACTTAAATGGATAGTATCTTAAAAATGTTCTAAATTTCCAAATTCACAACGTCATATATATGACATGGTTATTTTATTAGAATATTCTATTAATTGCTACTTGTTTTCGGGCTGTAATCCGAGTCTATTAAATTTGTGTTATTAGGAAATTTACAATATAAATTCAAAAACTATACTTAAGCATTGAATAACCAGATTATAATAATATAAATTCTATCGATCGTCTATCCATTGGTGTGATAAATTACGCTGTTGTTTTTGGGAAGCTCACCGAAAGTTAATTATGTTTTAAGTAATTATTTGTTATTAGTGCATACACAAATTGGTAATTATAAGCTAAATTAAGGGTATATATTTAAATAATATATAGATAACATTTAATATTTTATTTTTGTTCATATGAATTGTATTTGAAGGACCAATTGCAGAACACCGTGTGATTGCTATGAATTACTTTTGTAGAATATATGTATAATGTAATAAATAACATAATGTAATAAATATTAATAGATAATCAATTTGTTTTCAAAAAAAAAAAAAAAACCCGATACCAGCAAATATCTCTGTCGAAATTTGAATATGCTACACAGATTATACTTGTACATTTTATTTCAAGTAATATTTGTGTTGATGTATGAATCAGCTGTTTTGGTTTGAATTTAAATTTTTGTATTGGTTTTTTCCGCAGCACTAGTGTTCTCACCAGATTTTACAGAAAGCTGTTCCATGAAAATCTGTGTAAAGAGTGTAATTTGGCACTTTATTTGTGTTACGCTCTCAGTTTGTACTTTACTTGTGATTAACTAGAGTTTTACTACGAGTAGCTAGTGGAACAGACCTATTATATTATAAAACTCTGTGAATAGTTTCTATGTTTAATTATAATATTATTACTAATATCATATGTTTTTGCTCTTCTCTGTGATAATCTAAATATTAACTGTTAAAACGTATTACAAATAAAAAAAAATTATGTGAATACATTTTCAATTTACATTTTTGCATTATAACAGATTAGTAGTATATTATATATGGTCAGAATGAATGTTTAAAATTTTATTAAGAATATTAATTTTTAAATATTCTCAACACACTGTCGTTTGTATATTTCTTTCATATCAGCTGTCACTTCGCAGCTAACTTCAATACAAACAGCAGCGCTCATTCATGTGCGGTTGTTCGAATAGTTTGGGTGTAGGAACGATTTGCGCGTAATTGTTTTTGTTTTTGCTGTTGAGCGTATAACGCGTAAACAAATAGAATTTACAATGGAAACAAATGAAAAACAACAATCTTGTTCTGTAGCAAATTCTACAACAAGAAAATCAAATGCTTCTTTCAATTTAAAAAGTTATAAAGTGCAAGGAACGTTGTTACGTGAGGATTTTGATGGTGGTCCCGTTAGTTTGGATGAAATAACAAACGGTTTATTTTTGGGTAAGTGTTTACGAAGAGACTCATAATCATTTTATATATTATAAGTATTAATATATATTTATGTACATTTAAAAAATAGTTTCAAAATGTATGAAATAATTTATATGAATGTTCAATGTTCTATAACTGTTCATGTTGTAAATTGCTTTTTTTCCACTAACTTTGTATTATATATTTGTATAGGTAACTTATCTGCAGCAACAAATATGGAAACTTTGAAGTCCTTCAAAATAAAACATATTTTAACATTGGACACTGTGCCTCTACCAAAGCATATATTGGAAGCAACGTTCCTTACTACAAAGTTTATACAAAGTAAGTTGTATGTATAAGTAATACCAACATATAATCAATCAATTTATATATGTTGACTTTATATTATTAAACATGATAATACTATTATTTATACAAGTCAATTCAAACGTGTATATAAACCAAACACTAAATATATTTATCCATATATGTATTATAAAGTTTTTTTATTTAAAGATGCACATAATCTTTTGTCTATGACCTTCTAGCATTTGTAATTAGTTGTTTTTGTGTCACATTATGTTCTGATGTTTTGAGTGCAGCGCTATGAATAGCGGTATTTGTATTTATGTTTTATAAAGCTGTAGTCATCTCAGTTGTTTATCATATTGACAAATGGGTGCCACTTTCATGTAAATACCTTCTGTTCATCTGCGTACATAAGTTTTAAGGTGCTTATTAATAAAACTTGGATGATTGAAAAAAGGCTTCAACAGAATAATGTCGCCAATGCAGTGCTTCCTAGTTCGCTGCACATTACAAGAAAGGGAGACTTATTAATATTTTATCACACATGAATGATAACATTTTACATATACATGTGTTTGTGCTTACACACGGGCAGAAATCTATTGAGTTGACATTAAGGATAACATTAGGAGAATTTGCTATTTTTTCTTTTATGCAGCAATATACCAACAAACATATCTACATGAAAGTTGAAATATTAATTTTTATTTATATAAAGAATTTAATCTGTAGGTAGTTGTGTGTAACGTCATTTTGACAGCCTACACCCTACATGAAATTTTTGAAGCTAATCTGTGATGTTAATAAAGATAGTGATCCATTTACTTCTAAATTTGAGATCTGTGACTGGCTCAAAAGTTTGTAATGCTTTCATATAAAATAATTAATCTGGAGGGATCTGGGCAATTGTACAGAAAACGTTTGTTTTTTTTTTTTCAAAGCGATTTGAATTTTGAGAAGCCTAATTTTTGGAGTCATACAAAAAATGTGTAAACAATTACTTGACAGTCAAAAAATGATATAGGATTTGTTTTTGTTGTGGATTTCGTTTAATTTACAACAAACTGCTAATTTTTTTTATGTTAACATTCCTAATATAATAATTATTAAATTATTTATCATCATATTTAAACTAAAAGTGGCATTTTCGCGGTTATAAATTAAAAAAGTGAATTTTATTGCAATGTGTGTAGTCATAAATTGCTATTGTTTTTCACGATACTGTATACACAGTCAGCGTGAAAATAAAGTGTACACTACATATCCAACATTTGTTTGTTCTATTCCAATAGTTTAAATAGTGGATTCGACATTTGTTTGTTCTATTCCAATAGTTTAAATAGTGGATTCGATTTTTATTTTTTTATAAAACATTCAAATCTCTTTAAACTTAAAAAAAATTTTTGATTTGTTTCACAGCAAAAAAAGCAATACAACAAAAAACTGTAAATACTGTAATACTAAATACAGATTGATTGCGTCTAATTAAAGTGTGCAGTAATAAATTTAATAAATAAATGAACTCCCATCGTAACTTACTGTAGATATTGTTTTTCTTTTTGATATGCCTAATTTTTTCCTCTCCATGTTTTCTTATCAAATACCTCGAATTTGCTGTCATAACTTAACAGGACATTTTCGTTGGTATTTTTGAGGTATTTTAATTTTGAATAATATGACTTTCGAGCACCCATGTATGCAGTTTTCTAAGACTTCAAAAAACCCTTTGAAAGCCACAACCGCTAATTTATCTGGTATGTGTTACTGAAAAGAGGTATGACTACAAAAATTATAACATAAATCTAAACATACAACTATACAACAATATAAAATGCAGGGCCATACATAAAAAAGGAACTCTCTAACGTTTTTCGAGTTGAAATGGTAGTTTGACACGGATGTACTCTGTCGCCTATCATATTCATTCTAACTGTAGACGAAATTCTGAACAAAGTGCTTAGAAACATGTATTCAATGGGGCATATTCGAGCATCTGCAAGATTTAAACTTTGGCGTTGGGATTCTATTGAGTTATATCGAATTACAAAATAAGTTTGAGTGAGTAAGGAATGCCGCTCAATGTGCTGGACTTGCGGTTTAAAAGAATCGTTCCTATGCCCCACTAGGACACTAAGAAAAAATAAAACTTTAATTTAAATTCCATAAAAGTTATTCTAGAGGTTCGGTCATGAGGCTCCTAGGTGCAATAGTTCAAAACAAGTTTTTATAAAAGAGATGTGTGGGAGTTTATTTGAACTCAACTTGGGTCAAGGTGGAAAAACCTAGCCACTTCAATGGGACGGGTTTACCGATCGATTGGACCCAAGTCAGTCTGTGCATGAGACATGAAAACAGATGGGCGATTTTAAAGCGGATAGAGGTGAACTTATCGCATACATTCAGAGTTGACGCATTTATACGTAGAAAGTAATTGTTTAGCATATGGCAACGTGAAAGGTGTCATTCTTCCCAAGAGAGGTGTCGATATATCCATGATATCAAGAATGGGATCGACGTATGTATGTTGTAAGAAGCGCTTTACTACACGTGATGCCATTTGAATGTCCATCTGTGTGCAACGCAAGAAGTTATTGCTGGGACAGAAGTTGCAAGAAGCATTTTGGATCCTGCTTGTTAGGTGGCCAACATGTGATGTCAGCCAGTCGAAATCCGCAGTTCATAGTTATTTTTTCGAATCTTCCATAAGTTAACAAACTAAAAATTTACATTTTATTATATTTAAGAATTATATCTACTTCAGATTATTTAGTTATGTTACTTAGGAAAAACTAAGTTGTCTTTTCAGTTGACTTTGCGTCGGTTACGTTTAGGCTTGGTCGAAGGCTACAAGGTTTCGTGCATCATCAATGAATAATTGATCATCAATAAATGATTGATTATCAATGAATAATAGATCATCAATGAATGGTTGATCATCAATGAATGATTGATCATCTATGAATGATTGATCATCAATGAATGATTGATCATGATTTGTTTGTATTCAGTGTAAATATCGACATTGAGACTGTCAGCAATAGTTGAATGACTACTCTGGGAAGTTATCGGTCTACCCAACTTTGTTTTTTTTTTATAATTATCTATTATTTTTATAGTTGTTGAGTTGGTAATATGAAATATTGCTTTAAAGATTATTTTTTACGAAAACTAGTCATTTGGAGAACATTTAGAATCTTGTTTATAAACATTACTAATTTATAATTAAAAATTAATAATCCTAATGTTTTATGTTTCTCATGAAAGTAAGTTCATGAAATTTATAAGTTTTGAATTTGCGGCTGCTTGTAGTTTCTTGAATAATGTGCAGACGTTACCAATCCTATTAATAAGGTTTTATTAATATATATTTTATCTTTATACATCGAACCGCTTTGTTTGAGAATTGTCAAATCGCTATTTGGATGCTAACATATGCAATCATATATTTTGTGACAGTTGACATATCTCCTTATAGATTTTTTGTAATAATTTTGGTTTTATATTAAATATGATAAAAGTCTAAAAATGCAAATAATCAATGCGTAATAAAGCGAATGCACTTAATATACTAAAAATTATGTTAAAAATTGAATAACAAATTTAAGATATTTTATGCACAAGAAATTTATTTAAATATTTGTATAATTAGATAATTCGTATTTATAAAATGTCTATATGAACTCATTTCTTTTATTTGTTAATTTGCTTTCCGATGATCACTTAAAAGAGCCAATCAATTTATATAAACAAATAATGTTTATAAATTTCGAGTACTAAATATTTTTAATAAGACTTTTGCCTTTATTCAATGAAAATAAAATAAATAAATTAATGTATTAAAATTTAATCTAATTTCGCTAATTAGTTGCTGATATGCCAAAAGAAGATATTCTCCACAATTTGGATCAGTGCTTAGATTTTATCGGTAAGGCATTACAGTTGGAACAACATATTCTAGTACATTGGTAAGAAAAATTTTTGTATCTCACATCGAAAACTGTTCATAATTATTAATTTATTTTAGTTATTTCGGTGTTAGCCGGAGCTCTTCCGTTGTTATTGCTTTTGTAATGAAAACTCATGACCTGGACTACCAACAAGCATTTGATTTGGTGAAATCAAAAAGGCGGTATGTGCAGCCAAATTCTGGATTTATAGCACAGTTAAAACTTTATAAACGTATGGGTTGTAAAATTGACACCCAATACCAAAAATATAAAATTTATCGATTACGTTTAGCGGGAGAACAAGTTCGTAAAGGTAAAATTATAATTATATTCTTTCTAACTTAATTATTTTAATTTTTCATTGACAACATTTCATGTATGAATTATATATTTGAATATGGTTCTAAACATATGATTGATTGCATTTTAAAAATTAATTTTGGTGAATTAATTTTTACTGAAGGCCTCGCTGAGTGAATCCCATATATTAACAATAAATTATATTTGAATATATGCGTTAAAAACCACAAATCAGAAGAAAGAAGAAAAGAAAGGAAAGAATTTGTTTAGGTATTGGTTTGATTACTTTATCCACATTCTTTAAAATAGTTGAAAACTTTTTTAAAAACTGGGTTCACTCTAGAAAATTATATCTTTACTTTTTATTTCTTTACTTTTCGTTTCGTTGGGTTTTTGTCCAACATCTTCAGGGGTATCTGAAATATTTTTTTATTATTTAATAATTATAATTTTTTACAATGTAAAAATATATTTATAATTTTTGATGATGTTAAAATTCAACATGTACACAAATAAATAACAAAAACAATAATAAAACAAAACAATAATATTTAAAAATTTAAGAATTTAATCTATTATATAAATAATATTAATTTTTGCATTCTCAAAAATAATTATTTACAAATAATTAAATATAAGAATTATTTTCAAGACCACTGATGGCAATACTCGAAACAGCTGTATGGTCAGCCAAAAATTCAATTAATTAAAATAATATAAAAATGAATTTTTGTTGTTGTAGTTCATTACTGTTCGAAAAAACCTCTTTATTAATTTTTTTCTAATATAAGTTTCTGTATCCATATAGATTTTTATTAAAAATTACTCGATATCAATTTTATATAATAAATAAATAATATAATTTTTATATAATTTTTTAGTAAAAATATTGCCGCAAAGTTTTAATAATTTGATTAAACCTGATCCATCAGTAACACAAGAAAATCCGGAACCAATAGTGTATCGGTGTCGTAAATGCAGGCGTATATTGGCTTCAAAATCACATTTACTAGCACATCAAAGTAAATCAAATTTAAATGTGAATGCTAACATACAAATTTCCTCTGGAGATGCTCAAACACCTCAGCAACAGACAACACGTTTACTTGATCAAATAGCGTCTCAAATGCGTAAAGCTTCCATTGGTTCTCCTACAGACGAACCACAAAATAATACTGGAGATGAGCAAATATTTTCAACATGTAAAAGTATTATATTTGTTGAGCCGATTGCCTGGATGAAAAATATATCGCATAATACCCAAGGACGATTAAATTGCCCTAAATGCGAACAGAAGTTAGGAAATTTTAGTTGGATAAATGGTAAGTGCAATATATTACTTTTTTTTGCAAAAGTTGTGAATTTAATGGTTTTTGGTTGAATAAGAGCGGTCTGTCAGCGTATATATTACAACACTGATATCGTGAGGGAATGTCTTAATGAGTTCGTTAGATGTTTTTAAATTTAAGAGAATCGAATTAGGACACAGATGTGTGTACTTTTTTGAAATAAATTTTTTTATTTGAGATGAATTATGAAATTAAATACCGTTTTCAAATAATAATTAATATTATTAAAATTAAGACAAACGGTATGCAAAATTTCTAAAAAGCCAATTTCTTTTACAATTGATTGTTACGAAAATAGGAACTTATATTTTAATAAAAAGGTACTACATACAGTGGTATTAATACATTATTGTCCTAATTGCTTTTGTTAAATTCATTAAATATTTAAGTATTTTTGAAATTTAATGTCTTCCCAAATGTGTATAGTTTTCAAAGCTACCTATTTTTCTTGGCATACAATGCGGCGTTTGAAAGTTAGACATTCAAATGTCTGTCATTGCCTCTGCCTAATATGCGATGGGCTGGATGTAATTAGTTGCAATAAAATTTTTATGCTCACCAATGATCACACCTTTTTTGATAAATGCAATCTTTTTGAAATAAATAAATCAATTTTATTTGAATTTTAGGTTGCCAATGTCCTTGTGGAGAGGAAGTGTCGCCAGCATTTTATTTTATTCCATCTAAAGTGGAACTCTCTAAAGCAGTACAAAACGTTCAAACCACTGTTTAATTATATCAAACATCAGCAAGTTGAGCTTATTTCGATACAAATTGTTATTTTCCAGCATAAGATACTAAGGAACGATGTAATAAACAGATAAGTTAAAACTTTTCCACTACTAACACTATTTAATATTATGAATTAACATAATCAAAAAACAAAAAAAAACTACATTTAAACAATATAAATTTTTTATGCTTCCATTATGAAAAACTTAATTAATTAATATAAAGTTGGTAAAAATATATTATAAAAAATTTGTTAAATATTTTTACTATTGTGGCGATTTGTTAATGAATACCAAAGAAAGTGTTTAGGGATTATTGGATAAATATTGAACATATAAAATGAAAACGGTTTCGGTTTAAATTAAATATTAATATGTCTTCTCTAAATATATACTAATATTATTGTGATAAATTATTTTTAAGGTGTGTCGAAATATAAGCTTTTTCTAATTATTTAACCATAATAAGATAATTATATATTTTATTTATTATATATATAATACATATATGTCATAATAATATATATGTTTATATATATATATATATTATATATATATTTTTTTTTTGCAAATACGGGCTATTAAAAAATAATTATTTTATTTATTTTTACATAAAACATTTTTTTAATGGTTTCTTTTTTAATTGTTTTTATTCTAAGTAATTTTATAAAATAATATAAAGATGTTTCGAAATAGTAGTTTCTATTAAGTAAAATAGTCACTACTTTCATAACTGACGTGTAATTACAATTTAAAACATAATATATATATATATATATATATATATATATTATTTAATCAATGATTGAAATCAAAAAATTTGCTTTCATGGTAACATATAAAATAGAATGCATCTCTTCATATACACACGTCTCTTATATACTATATTTACCTTTCTGAAAATTGTAGTTTTTATTAAATGTATTATCTACATTTTACATTGTGGAAAATTTGTTGACAAGTTTTATTGGAACGATAATAGGCCTGATCTTTTGTTAGTCTGTTGCAAAAAACTACATAAAATAAGCGCTTCTTAAGGTGGCAACACTTGCAATACGGTCATATATTTACTCAGTTTCAATAAATGAAACTGATATAATATGTATTTGCAAAGCACAAAAAAACTATATATCATTTGAAATATTTTATGAAAAATTTTATTCTATTATATGCAAAAAGATATAATAGGTAAATAAACATTTATACAATGTTGCGCCTGAATGCGCTACTATTATCGTGGGTGTGTTAACTTGTATAAATTAAAATGTTCACTATATAACTATTATTGGCAAATTTTTTTTTTTAATTATTGCCCTGTGTCGTGGTCCCTATCGGTGTTGATATTACAAAAAAAACACGTGGAGTTGGGGTTCAGCTCTTGTCTATTTATTAGATTTAAACCCTACTCTAAATGCCGTCGTTGCTTCGCTATGATCCGGAACTTCTGATGCCGACCTGTTGCTGCTGGTGTTGTTAATTCCAACTTAGTGGTTGATGGGATTACTTCCGCTGCAGTTGTTTACTGGTGTTGTTCTGCTTATACTTCTGCTGTGCCTCTGCTGCTTTCCATGAAACAACTATGATCACAACCGAGTTAGTTTTTGTTAAAGATTAGGGCTATTGCTGGTGGTAACACAGTGTTTTGCTCGGGAAACGTGAAGGTTGTTGTTGTTTTGACCAAGAATCACATCAGTTCAAAAGGAGGAAAAACGAAGTAAAATGGAAGATGAGGAAGAAGATAAATCTTATGTTGGTTAACGGCTGCTGAAGAAAAACGAATTTTGGAGTACGATATTTGTTTTAAATTGACTTAAACACAAACGTTTTCGTTGCTTTTAATTATTTTGGTGTTCGCAATTGTGCTTTAACGATATTTGTTTTAGATTGTATTAAACACAAAACGTTTTCGTTGCTTTTAAATATTTTGGTGTTAGCAATTGAGCTTTTGACGATATTTGTTTCAGATTGTATTAACACAAAACCTTTTCGTTGTTTTTAAATATTTTGGTGTTAGCAATTGAGCTTTTGACGATATTTGTTTCAGATTGTATTAACACAAAACGTTTTCGTTGCTTTTAAATATTTTGGTGTTAGCAATTGAGCTTTTGACAATTTTTGTTTCAACAATTTAGAATCACTTCATTCAAGTTAGGGCTGTTTTCTATCACTCATAGAATTCACTTTATTTCACTTTCTTTCATTGCTTAACTTAACCATTTTCTATTTTGAAATCACAAAGTCAAAATGCTTTAGAACCGTGCAGCCCGACTGTGATATATATGAACACTAGAACGTTAAGATCGCGCTATTGCTTTCGGTTTAGATCGTTCCTTGTTCGATGGAGACACAACAGCAACTGCCAGTCAAAAGTTTCTGTACTTTTGCGTTAGCTTCCAAAGTAGCGTGTTTGCTGGTCACGTTTTGTAGTGTCAGCACATTCCACGCTCGCGTTGCGGGATCGTTGCCTTCTGCTACCGCATCGTAACATGAGACTTAGTGCCAAGGCTATACTTGCATATTTATTTAATAACGGCCAAACCGTTTTTTTCACACCCTATCGTGCATGTAACCACAACACCTGCCGTACATTCTCCGGCAGGGCTGTCTAAACCAGAGACAATACAATTCTTTGAGCAGATTGAAGGTCCGCAGAAACAAGTACAAATTAATTTATTTCTTCTTATATGAGTTTTTTTAATAAAGCAACTTTATTCATTTATTGTTTCTTAATAACTAAAAGATACAGTTTTTGATTTTCTTATCCTAAGCCAATTGTATATATTAATTTGCAGTGTTAAGCTACAATACAGTTTGTAGCTTAGGAGAACTACATGTTACTGTTTATAATATAAAACATAATTTATGGAGCAAGCACTTTTTATATGAACTGAACTTAACAGTTTTTATATAAACTGATCTTGAGCCTTAAACTCCGGATGCAGCTGTGTAAACAAGGACTATGCTGTGTCAGCTATGTATTAATTGTATTGTAACGGGATTTTTGGATAAATGTATATAGTGTGTTGTATATTTGAGGTACTAAACTTACATACATCCATGGTTTTTTTGTAGAGAAATAAAAATTTATTTTTTCGAACAATTTGTACCAGATTTTTATGCCTTAAAAGTCTGGTATATTGAAATTATTGAATAGTTTATAAACTTATAGAAATGTATAATTTAATTAAAAAGAATACGATATTAATTTCGAAATTTATAATTTATTGCTTTTTAAATAATCACACGTTCTTATTTTTTTTTTCTTTAACCGACCTTGAATAATCTGTATCTGAATATTTGAAAAACGTGTATCAGTATTAATATAGAGAATTTATTCGCAATAAGAACAGAGATAGAGTTAGTTTAAATTATATTATTTATTTTATTTTTTTATATAACTGTCTTAAAAAATATTTAGTTTTTTAATAATGATAAACGTTAATATACATATTGAAGTCAGAAACTAGCGTGTCTTGCCTCGGCGGTGTTCAAAATTCAACTGAACTCTTTTATTTCTTTTATCTCTTATGGTATACATTCTTAATCTTGTTCACTTGGGTACAGTGCACACTTATTACCACAATTCGGCTATTCTGACCTTTAAGATCCCCTGATCCTGCCGAGCTCAACTTAAGCTTACTTTATTTTTAAAAAAAAAAATAGCCTTTTCGCGACTATTGAATCAAGGCTTACAACTCATATTCCCTTGTATGGAACACTTGAGAATTGGAAGCCCTCAACGTCCTCCAAAAGCTATCGCTCATTTTCTAATATCTTAGTTATTTGGTACGGACCCTTAAATTTAGGTATTATTATTTTTTTCGATACACCCGTGTGAGAATCGTAATTTTTAACCATTACGTGATCTCCTACCTTATGTTTCGTTGATTCCCTGCGCTTCTTATCAATGTATTGTTTATTGTAATCCTGCGTCTGTGATTGTATTGCATTTGCCTGGCTACGAACTAATTTAATATCCCTTTCATAGTTCTATTGTACCTCTTTATTCAGTACCAAACAACATTCTACTAGGATGTTCATTTATCATTCTGTGCAACGTGTTGTTCATTATGAACTCAACCGTTTTTACAATTTATTCCCAGTTCGGAACTATTTCGGAGTCTACTAGTTTTGTTAGCATTGGTTCTAAGTTTCGATTAACTCTCGCTACTTGTCCGTTTGCTTGAGGTTACCCTGTGGCCATTTTTATGTGTTTAACGTTGTTGACATCTAAGAATTGTTGAAATTCTTTAGATGTGAAACAGGTTCCTTTGACTGATACAATAATTTGAGGACGACTGTAAGATCTGAAATAAGTTCTAAGTGATTCTATAACTTCTTTACTACTTGTGGTTTTTGTAGTATATCAATAATAACCAATATATATTTCTTTTTAGTTTTGTTATTACTGCATATTGGGCCATAGTGGTCTATGTGTATGACATTGAATGGCACATTGCCCTTTGGTACAATATGCAGAAATCCCTCAGCATCCTTAAAAACTCGTATTGCCCCAAAGGCGTTATGAAAGACGTATGCTTAACTGACTCTTAATGCATATATACATGGAAAAATCCGTTTTTCAAGTCTAACTTTGTGAATATTTTTTTTTTTAGCTAATCTCTCTAACAAGTCGTCTATTAACGGAATCGAATATTAATCTTAATCTTAATTAATCTAAAATCAGCACACATTCGAAATTCGCCAGTTTTTTTTTAGTTTTCACATTTCCTTTTTTTAACAGAATTTTAGCTTTCACATTTTAATTTACAATTATTGATAACCAATCTTTTCTTTACAGTCTTATTTTCTTTTTCAAGTAAAATTAAACTCCACTAGCAAACTCCACTAGCATTTAAAAAATCTCTTCCTAATATAACAGAATGAATCATTGACTCGTCTCCAACCACCACTAGATAAACTTGAACTTCTTTATTATTAATTTTTATATGAACTGAAAATTTTACATACATTTTTTATTTAGTTTTATTAATTTGTGCTGGAACTAGAGACTTCTTAATAAAGCTAATGGGGCTCTCGAAATCAATGAGATGTTCTACAAACATAGATACACTAGAATTATTTGCAACTTTTACATGTAAACATCTTAC